AACAGAATGAAAAGAAAAACGCTTTTCTGTTCTTTTTTTTAGTTGGCTATTCCGGGTGTTGCTTGCTATTTTAATGAGAAACACCTAAAATGTTAGCTCTGTTTGATTTTTCTCGTCCACCATTGACTTATTTTGAAAGTAGTCGCGTATTTTAGAAAAAGAACAATCTCATGACTTAGTTTCGTATTCTTTTCTTCTATTAACCGCGTTCATATTTCGTGCGATTGTTCGGATAGAAACAGAAAGGAAAGAAAAGATTTGTTTTCTTTGTTTTTGTTCAATGATCCTACAAGCTTTTGCGCAGTTTATAATGGAACTTTAATTCTGACGGAGAACCAAAACTACATGTCTTTTTTTTTTATTGTGCATGTCCAACTGCGTTTTTGATGATTTTTTGAAATCATTTTGCAAAAAAACTACCGAGTTAACGGAAGCTGATGCTTGTTCTACTGCGGGGAAAGCTAAATCTAGGTCCTTGAATTTGAGACCGATACCCTATTTGAATGCAAAACTTTTTATCTAAATTTAGAAAATGAAATATGAATGAATTTCTACTGATAACCTTCGACAAGCGTGATCAAAAAGAAAACATTACCCACACCCACACCCAAAAATGTAAATCTGCATGTTTTTCTCGTCAATGAGAGAAAAAAGATTTTGTTTGTGTTTTAAAAGTGAAAATTTAATCGTATTGATTGATACTTTTAACTTTTATTAGATATAACAAAACTAATAACAAAAGCACAAATAAAAACGATCAAAATAGTCAATTTTAACAAGTATTTCATGTGTGTTATTTTATACATATCTCTTTTGGATTCATTTGATTGAATTTGTACTGTTGTGTCTAGATATTCGTTTATTTCGTCATGTTCCTTATCTTGGAATGACAACATTTCTATGGATTGTTCTGTGTCTATGTCAATGGTAGAGTTGTAAGCAAAGAAGTATTCGTTACTGCTTCTAACGTTTTGTCGAAATGAATACGATCAATTGCTATTTGTGCTGTAGCATTCTAATTGAGATGCCAAATAAATACAAATAGAATACCAGCAATGACACTGCTAGCAACAATCATTCCAATCGAATAGCCATAAATATCCATATGTATAATAAACATGAAGATATACGCCATAGGAAGATCGATTATATAAAAACCAATAAATGAAACGATTGCTGCATATATTTGTTGTCTACTAAAACACAATACTGTGTTTTTTATTCGTATTTGATATATCAGTTCAGTTGTTAGTTCAATTACATATTTTTTCGTTGCTTACATCGATCTTAAGTAATTAATTCCTATTTCTGTCGAAAATTAGATAAATAAACACTCTAAGAAATGCCCACATAGCTCTATAATAAAACATAGGTGTCTGTTTGTTTGTCCCTTCTAGCACAAAGGTTAAATGTTTATCTGATGCCTCTTTATCAAAGTGTAATTTCTTGAAACAGCAACCTAGCGGGTGCAATAATGGTATAGTCAGAGTTTTTCTTAACGGAGAGATGGAGAGGAAAGGAATCGAGTTGTTTATGAGCACAAGGGCACAGCCTCCAGGCCCACTTATGGGTACACTACTGAGATGAATTCTATGCTCTTCGAACAGTAGAAAAAACAGTATATCTCATAAGAAAACTACAGCACAGAATAGTTATATGGAATCAAGAGTTACAGACAATAGCATCTCATAAGAAACACATATGAAAGAGCAGAGCATTGTATTTACACAGAGATACAGAATACATGGCCAGAGTGCAACAGTTAAAGAACAGTACTTAAATAAAGAACATCAGTATAGTATACACGGATTTGGCTAGTGTATATTATATGGCAACAAAATTAAATTGATTTTGTATATTTCGAACGAGTTTTGGCACTTTCAAATCAGCCTTTTTGTTACAATTTTACTGCCACTTACCATGCTTTCAGTATACTATTTTGAATGGTACTCAAACCATCGAATATGTGATAGAGAGAACTAAGTAAGAGGCCATTCCTGGCAAGTGAGTGAGCTGTTGTTTCGGTTTCAAATATAATTGGTAGCCAAGGACAGTTTACAAGAACAAAAATCGTATTGATGATTAGCATGATTTCACTCACTGTAAATGTAACATTTTGAACATTGACTGCCTTTAATGGTTCGTTTGCACCGAGATATTTTCCAATGAGAATGCCACCGGCGTCACGTACTGATACCATAATTAAGTATACAAATAATGAAATTTGTTGAATGGTTACTTGAGCCGCAAGTAATCGAGGACCGAGTCGAGCCGCAAAGAAGACACTCATTTCAAAAGACCAAACATCGAGCTTAGAACAGTGAGAAAAATTATTTGACAATCTTCAATAAGCTTATTTTCATCAGAAAGAAAATCATAAAAGATGACTAGTTCTAATGAATTTTGAATGGAATCTCGAAAAATGAATGAAGAGTATTGGCCTTCTTCTTTCAAATTTTAGTACACCACTGACTTACATAGCTATCCATACGCCTGGTATAGCCAGTTTCAGATAAACATTCCATTCTTGAAGGCATTTGCGACCAATAGGACTCCAAGCTTCGATATAGATCGGCGAATAACGAATATAGATGATTGCAGATAGTACTATAGAACAATATGCAATAATCATTGACACTGGTGTGCTACGAATTCCCAAATAAAGATGATAGAGACAAATGTGGTGCGATAAGGTATTGATTGCATTTTCGATCATGTTGATAATGACGAGAGGTACAGTTTTTCCACTACTTGCAATATACATTCCAAGCAATAGAGAGAGTGCATCGAATGGTAAAACAAAAATATAGATGCGAATAAACCTATTAACTAATGTCAGAACTTCTTGATCTCTCTGAATCCATTTTAAAACATATTCATAACAAAACAAAGTCAATAATGAGTATGTACTACAACGTACAGACAAAGAAAAAGACACTAATGGCGAAAATTCTTTTTAGTCTACACTAGAAATTAAACATTTCTAATAATGATTTATTCTTACGGCGTTCAGCATCAATATCCAACAAGGAAGGGTGTGGGTGTGGGTGTTATAGAATAAAACATACACACCCACACCTACACCCACACTGAGACTAACCTTGAACACGCCTGTCAAAACCTTGACTTGACATTTCACCCCTTCAATCATAGATCGAGGGAGCAATTTATTACTAAACCTAAAGGAATTTTCAGACAAATAGGTCATATTCGGACTTGGTGATAAACTATAAAACGGTTATGGCAACCAACCGATATAATTATTAATAAATGAATCACGGGATGCTCTGAGAATCAAGAGACCGCTTTGTGTAGGAGAACAAGTACTCTGAGGAGTTAGTCATCACTAATGGAAATCGCTCTAAGATCGTCAACTGATCATTGATACTATTGAAGCATATTCATCTTGTAGCAACTTGCTAAAAGCAACCGAAATGTAGCAAAGATCCAGAAGATTGATCGAGCTTTACAGTAGACTATTTTGAAGCGATCATTTCGAGCTTTTCGTATAATCTAAGATCTGAAACTAATCCATAATAAATCAGAATTTCTCGAAATCCAAGATAATCTTTCATCGAATACAACCTTTTCATCAAATAATTGAATCAAAAGCAGAGATGCATAAATAAATATTACACAAAATATAATCTGTTGAAAACGTTTTGGCATTTAAATAAATTTTACTTCTATGAGCATCAAATAGTAGAAGTATAAAAAAGAAACATTTTCAGTACTCATGATACTCGAAAACAAAACGAAGTTCTTAGATAACCGGCTGTTGATATAGGATAATCTTCAATTATTTCAACTCTATGTTTACATCCAATTAATTGATAACAAAATATGATATTTACCATAATTTAAGTTTCGAAATTTCTCGAAGAATATAGACAAAAACAAAAATTTTCTAATGACTTCCTGGACGTCCAAGATCGCCCGACCCCCTCTCCCCTCCCTAACCTGGATGTCCTTTATGGATGGCCTCTTATCTATAATGGCTGTTACTAAAACTTTTATCTTGAAAAAGTGATGAAATACTATTTGAAATAAAAGAATCTATTAGTAATGAGTAATAGATGACGTTATTCACATAATAATTCGAATTTCATTCATAAGATGTAATTATATGAAGAAAAAATGCATTTTTTCTTATCCAGTCTTGAATGTATTCTGTTTTCGTTTATATGATCTATATATAGTTATTTCTTTTGTTTTACTTCATCTCTCATGGTAAAAGTTAATTATTTTGCCAACTTTAAATAGATAACAAATATAACGTCATGTTATTGCATGTTCAAGTCGTATTTTCTTTATTTTTCAAGTATATAGAGCACTATTTTTTTACGTTTAAATTATTTTTATCATATCAATATGAATCGACGCACACAACAACACAATAGTAATTTTGACCATTACGATAATAATGAAGAAAAAAAGTTACAAAGTCAGTCTTTTAGTAATTTTTCTATTCATCATATCTTAGTTCTATTTATTTAGTAACAACAATCCAGCAGAATACGTTCGTAATACATAATTATATTGTTTTAATATCTAACCCTTCCTTCATTTAGATTAACCTTCACTAATTTTGAAGATCTTTGCAATGTCGAAATCTTCTTCGTTATTTACCTTTTCCTATCAAAATCAATATGTCAGGTTTATCAAAACAAAATTGTCAACGTTATTATACAGAATTTATTATGCCTAATGTCAATCGAATAACTTATCTTCATTTATGGAATCCATTTATTCTTGATATTATCTGTGGATCTCTTGCAGATATTTAGAAGTTCTATAAGCTCGAAATGTTTATTCTCGATAATATGCATTCACTAAATCTTCTATATCATTTATCATCGATGCGAAATCTTTCTTCCTTAATCATCAATGAAATAGAATGTTTATCAAAGGATTACATACCGTACATTTCAATATTTAGTATACGCAACTTGAAATATTGCAAAATATCATGTGTAACCGGTTATATTTGGCTACTAGATATGGCTACCCATGAAACAAGTCCTATCGAATATTTGTTTATCGCTCAATTAGCTGGACTTAAACAATTTACTAATCTTTTATCATATGTTCCTCATCTTTGTCGTTTATCAATTGATCATTTACATGGCTATGATCATAAAAAAATCCAAGTATTTCCAAAAGTGTTCAATAAATTAACACATGTTTCTCTTAGATTAGATTATATAACACTCGATGAATTTGAACCAATAATTAGACATTTTTTTCATCATCTTCAAGTTTTACGAATTTCTACTGGAGATGATCTGGCATATTTGAATGCTAATCGATGGCAACAAATAATTTTGTCACATATGATTCATTTACATATTTTTGATTTTCAACATTCGTATAATTTCACGGTCTATCATAATCAAGCTTTTTTTTCTTCTCTAATCAAACACTTCACATCTTCATTTTGGATCGAACGAGAATGGTATTTTGCAAATCAATATCCAAGTGGAGATGGCTTGAATTGTGGAATATTCTACTCAATACAATCGTGCAGGTATTTAAAAATAAAATAAGCTCTTTTGTTTTTGGTTTACAATATTGATTTTATTTTTATTTTCAAGGAGAACAGACTACATATTATCGAGCCAACATGATCAAATCGATGACAAAAATCATACTACAAACGATTTTCCTTTAGTTCGTCATGTTCATATTCAAAATCAATCAGCAATTGATAATTGTTCGATCTATTTCTCGAATGCCGATGAACTTACCATTTCTGATAATGAATATATACCTTGTGATTCGATTACAACTATTCTCAATCGTATTGTACTTTTAGAAAAACTTCAAAAAATAATTATCAATTGTGAGCACTTTTCTTTTGATATCGTGGTCAAAATATTATGTTCTACACCGAATTGTTCTAAATTAATACTTCATTCTCTATTACTAAATGAAATCGATGGTGTATCATTAAAAGATAATTCACTGTTTCAAGTGATATCAAACAAAAATAAAATGAAGGATCTGACAGTTAAATCGATGTGTACGTTTGAAGAAGTTAAATTATTTGTAAAACTTTGTCCTCATGTGCAACATCTTTCTATCAAAGTCTCTCAAGATAACTTTATATCGACTATAAAATGTTGACTATCAAAACATAACAATGATATTCGTGACTTGTTAACATTACGTATTCAAACCACAGGAAATATATGGTTTGCAAGAATATTGATGTTATTTAAATCATTAAGACTGTCGATTAAAATTATGGGTGATCATGATTACTTTTTATGGTGGTAGCACAAATATCTCCACTTTAAAGATTAATAGCTTGAAATAAACAAAAAATAAATTACATTAGACTTAAGATTCTATTCAGTAGATAGATTCATCTAAGATAGAATTTATTTGAAAAGTTCAATCCAAATTGATGCGCTGTCCTAGAAATATACATACTCCAAGTATAGATACTTGACTCGTCTTCATGCGCCACATTTCCGAATAAAAATCGATTTTCTCACTCGCAATAGGAATGGTGAGAATGATGTTTTTACAGTCAGTATTGTTAATCACAGACAATCTTTTCATTCGACTCAAACTATTATATGGTGTAAAAATCTTTATAGGGTGGGGTGTAAGTGTAGGTATTTGTTGGGTGAGTACTTTTTGTGTAGAATATCATGGAAGAAACAAAAAAAAACTTTTTCCTTCAAAAGCAGCTGCTTACAAAACAATTCTTTGCAATGTAGTGCTTGACTCATTTTTTTTTTCTTCAAAGACAATGTTTGATACTAGAACAATTGACAACATCTTTTGAAAAACAGCTGCTATCCGGAACGAGGTATATACTTTTCTCATGTGAGAGAAAAATGAGGAAGGCAAGAGGCATAGCTTGTAGAATTTTCTGTCGAGAAGTGCTTCAAATTCAAAGACCCAACACAATATCGTTCCTTCACATAATTGCACACTCTAAGAAAAGTAGGTTTATTATGAAACTCAAGCATAACCGATATGTTTTGATTTTTAAAATCATAGAAATTCAGTAGTTTCTTTAGGACAGTCTTTTACTGGAAAATATTAATGATCGTTAACATTTTTCAGCAAAAGATTATTCTATAGAAACAATTGAATCTCTATGATTTCAATAATCGAAATGTATCAGTTATGCTTAATTTTTTGTAAGGCCTCTCCAATAGTACTGCTTGCACTTAGAGAAAATTTCATGGGTGAATAAAACAAAGTGTCTCAGAACCTTTTGTTCTTGCAGATTTTTTTGTTTTTGTTTTCTTTCTTTATCTTGAAACAAAAAAAGAGTTCTTTTTTTGTATATGAAGTTTTGATGCGACTTAACTATATGATCTCTTGTTTATATCAATCACTGCATCTGATTCTTAAAGCCTTATTCTCATTATAGATATTAAGAAAATATCTTTTTTCGTGCGTTCTGATCTCAACTGGAATTGGCATATCAACTGTGATATATATGTGAAAATGTTACATTGAATTTCTTTTGTTTAATTAGTTAAAATCAAATAACAACCTAAATAAATGAATATTATACTGAGAATCCCAGTATTTTAATTTGATTTCTTGTGAGAATATGGGTGTGGAGGTGATTGCCATCTTTGCGGGTTCTAATATTGCTGAATGGATTCGTATATGAAAAGAATCTGGACAAATGGGTATGGGTTGAATGTAGACCTATAGCTATAGATGTAATTAGAAGTGAAACCAAAGCCTCACATCCATATACGAAAAAACTCAAAGATTAAAAAGATAAAGAGCCGTAAACTAAACGCGTGAGTGCAAGTATAGTTCCACTAAGAGTTATTTTCTGATGTCTTCTCTCCCCACACCCTATAAATAACGACGATTATGAGTTGATTGCGATTGACTCTAATTTGATCTTTTTTTTTAAATCAAACCATGTCATGTATTCATCGGTTTCGCATAAAACATGCCACTGCTCCTGGTTTACAAGGCCACATAAAGTCTTCGATCAGTTGTGATGTAGTTTGATTGGCTACCAAAGCAACTTTGCCAAGTACATCATTACTTTTCTTAGCATGTATTTTGTTGTCGTCAAAAGATGTAACATTGGAATTGGAGGTTACTAGAAGACTGTAGACAGCACTTTCAGTAAGCTAAGAATAAGTACAAAATAATTACTAAAACAATACTTGGGACGAAAAAAAACGATTCGTGTGGTAGTGACAATACGGAAAGAGCTGATTCCAAATGTCGAGATAACACAGAATTACACAAAATCATGTGGAACCGAACGCCAAAACACTACTTGCGTATGCTACTTAGTATATCTGACCGAACGGACTTCATCTTCTACAATCAGTTGTTTAGGTTTTAGCAGCTTGTAACGGAGCAGCAGGATTAGCTTCACAATTTTATAAATACAAAGCAGATTTTCTGAAAGTCTTTAATGGACTAACTGGATTCATTTCATAATTTTCGACTGCATAAACAGGCTTCCGGGCAATTGTTAACTAATCCTGTCGAGAAGGATGCATAGAATCAGTCAACTCAGAGCATCAACAAAACTCAACCAGCTACTAAAGCCAGTGAAATGAGTCGGACTGGACAGTTCGAAACCATCGCAAAAAGAGAAGGAGCAGACAGGTGACTTTTTCCACCCGAAACAGTTGTCGAAATTTGAAGTCATGTTAGAATCAGCAGGATGTGGGTGTGAGTGTCATAGAATAAAACATACCCTCACATCCACAGCCACAGCCACACTCCACACCCACCCACATTCTCATTTGATTTTACTAGATTGATATTTTGAAAAGAAAGAACTAAATACATATGACTTCAAAATACGGTATGTAGTTTATAAAATATTCAATAGTCTCTAGTAATATTCGAAGTTTTTGTTTCGACACTTAACTCGCATGGTCACGATACGATGGCTGCATCACTTAAGGAACATCTTGTACTTTCATGTGCTCATAAGCAAAATTCCAAATTGGTTTTAGATTTTGGTAAAATTCTTCAAATGAAAAACGTTTGTCGTCATCCTCGGCAAGATAAGCATCGACTTCATTTTCTGGTAGACCCCATTGAATCAAGAGTTTTTGTAATTCAATTGCATCAATGTAACCACTCGAATCGGTATCTAAATCATTAAAGACAAAGCGTGCTTTCGCTTTGTCTTCACGTTTTTGACTTTCTTGAACATAAGTAGTAGCCATTTCGCCTAGACGCCAAACATTTCTATAGAAAATCTTAAATGATATTTCACGTTTTTTCGAGAAACGCAAAAACCGTTCGATGAAACTCTTCGCTACATCCCATTCTCTGAGTAGATATACGATTTCATCGCCATCGATTATCCCATTTTTGTTCTTATCTAATTGGTCAAATACTTGTTTTGCTAATTGTTGATCAGTTACCTGACCATCGTCCTTCATTTTCATCAGGTGAGCCTTTTCTTTTATCCACGCATCATGAACAGTTCGATTGACAAGAAGATCACGTGTATGCTCACTAACGAAATGAGCACGTTCTTCTTCATTGGGCTGAACAATAACAAAATAAAGCAGAATACTAGTTGCTACATAGCCTAAGAATAACATATTGGCTGAGACACCGAGCACACCTGGAAAGAGAATGAGTCCCGAAATTAGAATAGTGTTTGTATAGAGCGTTTCTTTGAATAAGCCTGCAAAGTCGAAAAAGAAATAAAGTACTCGACACCAGACATAAGTATTGTGAACGAGAAACATATTCAGTAGCCAATAGATTGAACTTGGTTCGATGATGACGTGTAGTGCGCAGAACAGATGAAGTGAAATAGCAAATAAATACGCAGCAACCATCAATGCTTTAGCACCGAAGGCAATCGATGCTTGATAATAGGATGAAGGTACATGACCAAGAATAGCTGATAAAGCAGCAATAGTAGCCATGCGTTCACTACTGATACAAAACGCTGCCCAACATGTAATAAATTCAAGCGAACCCGAAATAATGTGAACGTAGATAGAAATTCGACGACAGATCAATATGACGTATTTTGGGTGTGGTGCATGCGAAAAGTGATAGTAAAGCACGAATATATTGAAAAAACTTGAAATAGTACTTAGGATACATTTTTCCTTGTACAAATAGTTTGATGGTTGATTAAGTGTCAAACGATGAAACAAATAGAATACAGCTAAACTCAGCTTGAATATGAGAAAGTAATAGACATATAGGCGTAATTTATTTCCAGACATATTTTGAAAAAATATTGGCAGATTTTGAAGATATTGCAAAATCTACTATTACTTCAATAACTAATCACAAAGACTGCAAATTGATAATGATCAGAGAATAATATAGTTCCTGAAAAGAATCAAAACTAATACTTTGGAGATGAGCAAATTAGATGGATTGGAACCAGGCCTCTAATATACCTCATTAATATTCATAGAAAACTTGCTATTATCAATACTTGTTATAATCCGTAGTGTTCAACAGCATGCATTTTCATTAAAATATCGCAATAAGCAAAACAACATGGTGTTGAGAACTAAGAATTATATTGACTATTCATAGTGATAAGACTTTTAGGGATTATTATGATAAACTTCGGAGCAATTCGAATATTTTGATTTTTGTTTCCTATCTTTATCTTTTGAAATGCAATCCGATTGCCATTAATTAATACGAAGGCTACTTTGTTGACGAAGAAAAAACATTGATTCTAAATTTTCCTTCGAATAAAGCGGCTAGAAAAAGTCAAGAATGGATAAAGCATGTAGCTCTACCCATCTCTACTGCCATAAAATCAACTAAGCTAGATGTTTCCTTTACCCACTACTGCTCTTTTGCAGCGTAATCAAAGTTGAACACCTCAATATTTTTCGACTCATGCAATAGTATGTCTCTTAGTGCCTTATGAAGTCAACACGGAATTGACTGTAAAAATATTCGTATTCATCTTCGTAATAGGAATGGTCCTATGAAACTCACTGCAGCGTTGAATGGATTTTTTAAAGATGAATGGGAGAGAGAGAGCAATGAGGACAAAATTTACTTGCAAAATATAATCATTGCACATGGGAACGAATATAAAAAGACGAGTGTGAAGATACACATAATAAAAATAGAAACGATAAATGACGTGTTTCTCTCCTTTTGTATTTATTGTAGTCGATCGAGTGAAAAGCACGTGCAACAATTTCTTTCCTTCACTTGTCAATAAATGCTAACTATCAGTGATTTAAAAATAGTAATTGATGAAAAATCATTGATTCATTCATCTGTAATGTATACATTTGATGAGAATAAGTAAAAACTAATAATGCAACTTGAATGAACACTATGTATGATTTGTCTCAATTTTGTTCAATAAATTGTTGTTTGAATAAAGCATTATATTTTGACCTCTATTTTGTATCGCAGCTATCAAAACTAGTTTAAAACAAATTTTTATTTTTCATTTTCAATTTTTTTCGCTCTTTCTATTTATATGTTGAGTGAACTGAGTCCATAAATGATTCATCATTAGATTCAAATATAATGTTATATAGTAATATGTATAACGTAGAACACTATGAATATTTTTTTATCAGCTGATAAAGAACATTTAAACTCATGTAGAATAATTTTGTAATTTTTATATGAATTCGTCAAGAAACGTCTTATAGACGAGAGTTAATCATAATAAACTGTGGGGTGTGGGTAGAGGTGTAATCCGAGAGGTCGAACATCAGCCTCTGCGAAAAAAAACTGTTTTTCTAAAATGTTCAGCGGCTATTGATTTGAATCTATAGGTCTCTTGGCGGCGACGGCTATAAATTTCAAAATTTTTCCATGCCTATAGCAACGACAGCTAAAATTTAATACTGAAATATTCGTTCTAGAGAAAAGTCTTTATTTCGATATCGAATTGTTAAAATTTTCAAAAAACTATATGACATACCTGTATTGTTCATCTTTGTTCCACAGATAAAGTACAAAAATAATATTGAGCTTAACAATCAATAACAAAAACAAGTTCACGAAAAAATAAAAGACTAGAAAAATTAGAAAAGAAAAAAAAAGAAAAACTTTATGTCTTTTTAAGTACATTATAATTATCATGAATCATTTTGTATTTTACCAACATTTTCTGGTGATAACTTTGTTCGTTTGGCATTGATAATTAAACCGGTTGTATAGAAAACTTGCTCACTTGATGTAGATTTTGCTGGAATTGCAAGAACTATTTGTGCAAGATATTTGAAATGAGAAAATGTGTCTCCACTTCAAATACAATGAAATAAACGAGTGGTGAAAATTTTTATTCAATCAGCTTTTTCTTTATTTCTAGATTATTTCGACGTTTCGAACTATTAAATGTTCATTTTCAAGACATAACCGAGTACCGTAGATGTGTTACGAGTACGACGTGAAGCTTTTGTTAATATTTGAGCTCATCGACACGACGTGATTAGGTAGATAAAATAAATGAAATTGTTTTTAATATATTCTTGAGAAACTGTTAAGTTGTAGAATTTGGGTCTGGGATTGTATCGGGAGGTAGACCTTCGGGAAAAACGAGCATCGGGACCGAGTGTATAGTTTGGTTTAATTTTGTTCCATATACTTTGATTACTAAAGATTCTTTTACTAGTAATTTGTAGCTGTTACTATCTTGCCATACAACTTTAAAGCGTTCTCAATCCATATGGTGTCCGGTTTGTTTTTGATGACGAGATATTGAGCTTTCATTGGATTTTGTTTTATTTTCGTTATTTTAGTTTTTATTGTCGGTTTTGTTTTTTTGTAGGTTGGTGTTGATTTTTGTATGGCTTGATGTTTGATTTTTCTGGAGAATGCTGGTAGGGCGTCTTAACGTTTCTGGATTCGGATAGGGTGTGGGTCTAATTCGTGTCGTTCTCTTTAGATATTGATCTTTCGTTCGAGTTGGTTCGATAGCTGATGGTTCATTAGTATCTTCTTCTTCGTAGTTTGTAGTGGTGCTTTGATCAAGGTACATTAATTGTTCTTGGAACAGCGATTTAGGTGCTCCATGTTCCCGTAGTCGTCTTATGGCTTGGCTCTCTGTTTCACCGACATATATATCACCACAGTCGCTACACTTAACGGAATAAACGATGTCGGATTGCAAGTATTTTGGTATTGTCTTCTTTGTGTTGAAAAATATTTGAACCGATGGAGGAGGTCTGGCGAAAAAGCGAACATCAAGATCGGGACGAATTTTTCCAGCGATTCGAGATAATTTCTTTTTAAATGAACCAGCAGCTGAACCAGTATAAGGAATTTCAATATACATCTTTTTTTTTCGCAGCTGACAATCGTGGTACCGGGTGTAGCAGATCTCTTCAAGTGTCTACTTAATCCGATGCCTATTCGAGTATCGAGAAACGATAATGGATAACCATTATGGAGACCGATTTGACGAATATTCTCGAATCCAGTGGCTAATGACGAGTATGTAGAATATGTAGCTAGAGCTCTGTGTATCATTGTTACAATGCTACCATTTTTGTAACTTACAGGTACAAAGGAATTCCATTTTATCATTAGACCAGTATATGTTTCTTTTCGATTGACAGCTGTTTGAAATTTCTTGGTTTCAGGTGACCGCGTAACCCATACATCGAGAAAAGGAAGAGAGCCATTTGTTTCTAGTTGATGAGTGAAAGTGATAGATGAATGAAAATTATTTAAAATTTCGAGTACATTTTCTACTTTTGTTGTAGGTTCAACAAGTACAAATGTATCGTCGACATATCGATACCACTCACAAACACCAATTTGCTTCAAGTGATCCATCAAACTCTCCTCGAGATGTGACATAAAAATGTCGGCAATTATTGGAGGCAGAAAAGCACCCATTGCAACACCGTTATGTTGAAAGTACATTTTTTTATCGAAAATGAAGTGAGTTTTTGATGTAGCTAATTGAAGAAAATGTTGAAAATCCGATCTATTCCTGCACTTCCCACAAAGACGACTTCTTTGTTTATATTTACATATGGAAGAACACGTAGGGTACATTTTATCGAGTATCAAGTCAATAGTATAGGTCAGTGGAACTTTAGTAAGGAGGTTCGTAACATCCAACGAGATCACTTTTTTATCTCCAAGTTCTAATTTTCTGATTTTTCGAACAAAATCAAATCTATCTTTGATCATATATGGGCTTGTACGAAGTGTATTCAATCGATTAGCCAACATTTTACCGAGTCCATAAGCTACTGTTTTTGTAGCTGACATTACAGGTCGAAGAGGATAGTTCTCTCGTTTCTTATGTAATTTAGGTACACCGTATATTCGAGCTGGTCTTGATCCACTGGGGGATGCCAACTTGTGTTCCTGATCACTAATAAAACATTCTTTTTTAAAGACAAACAGAAACTTAATTAGTTCATTTTCAGTACCTAAGGTTGGATCGTGATTGATTAAGGTAACAGCAGATCGATCATCGAGTATTGCATTCATTTTTTGTACATAATCTGCACGATCCATGATAACCACGTCACGTCCCTTGTCAGGTCGGGTAATAATGATCGATTTATTTTTAGCGAGAGAACGAAGAGTACTAAAAGTTTTACTATGTTCGGCACCAATTTTCTTCAGTTCAGATTGGCAACTTTTCGAAAAGAATTCGCTGTCTCACGTAATTCAGATGCAGCACTCAATTGTACTGATGTTAATTGGTGACGAACAGCTTCAGTAGATGGTTTCTGTTCGTAATGCCGATAAACAGTTCGTATATTTAAAAGGCGTGCATAAAAATATTCCATATTGCATACGAACTGTGGTTGATGATCGAGTTTTTCAGGTGGATATACATGATTTAATCCATTAACTAGAGCATCATGCTCGCTATCGGTTAAGTTGTATTTTGAAAGATTTGTCACCGGATCACCCATCTCCTGCGGAAGATTTGTTACCGGGTCAAGAATCTGTCGTTGTGGAGCACGTCTTTGTTTTTTTTCACGTACACCATTGAGTTTTGTCTCGTGTGTTTTTTCAATCTTGCCCACCTTTTTTTTAAGAATTTCTTGTGAAATAGATTGTAAACGAACATAAATAATATGAGAGACACTTTGTTTTAATTTGGCGTCCAGTCGTCTCAAATATTTTGTAGTTCGACTCAAAAGATGCTGCTTGAACTTCATTTCAGCTTGCAAAATATTACGAGCGCACTTTTGCCTTAGCTTAGCATCAGCTATATACGGATTTGCCAAACGAACACGAGCGAAAATAGGTATTAAATTTTCATTCTTACATGTGAAAATAAATGCAATAGCACTTTTTAACCTGCGTATTCGAAGTTGTTCTGTTACAAACTGACCAAAAAGTTTACTAGCATTTAGACCATAGTGCCGCCACAGATAATTGTAGACATTCGCAGCTGATAATGGTAAAAATTTAAGCAAGTACTTAAAGAGTAAAACCGCCTTGAACAACATAGTATTTTATTTAAAATGATTCACCACCAAATTAAAACAGAATCACGTGTGATATGATGATAAACAGAACAGTAAAAAGAGAAAAAGAATAACACTAGAGAACGAAAAGAGAATAGAACAGACAACTTGCGATAAAACAATATCTGCCATGTGGAAAAAAAAGAGAAAAATGTACCACTCTATCAAGAATGGACAGATGAACGAGAATCGACTACCGATAACAAAAAAAAGAAAAAGAAAAAATCCACAAAAAGACGAACAAAGAAATGATCAACATATATATATTAGAAACTCGAAAACACACCAGGCAAACATAATCCTGATAATATGTTGAACTACCCCTATTGCACCGCTTAAAAATTACGAGAAAACCACTAAACTATACATCAAATAAACCTATTCGTAATACATTACTCACTGGAGTAACATCATGGAATTCCGCAACAAAAAAAAATAGCTGCGATCCAACACTCTCCATATTATTCACTTAGTTGATCGAAACATCGATTCGTAATAAAATCTTTGTTTTAAAAAAAATTTCTCCACCAAATATATGTTTATAAGAATATATTGCCTTTTACATTAAATTTAGTTTATTTAATTAATTCTCGTGATTTCTGGCTTCAATTATTATTAGATTAGGATTAGGTAGTACTTGTAATACATTTGCAGTACAAGGTTGTTTTTCTTGAAAATCATCAATTAGTTGATCGAAACGGTGATTATTAATAAAATTTTTTGTTTTTATGAAATTTCTCCACAAAATTTCCATTCATATGAATAAAAACATGTTTTTTGTTTTTGTTTGCATACTAAAGTTCTAGACGTCGTTTTGGCCTCGCATTTTATAAAGATAACTGTGAGAAAGAATGAAAATATGTTATTTGCTTTTTTCCCTCGTGAAATTATAACACGTCTATCCGACAATACTCTGCTACTCGGCAAGCAGTATGCTGTAGCAAAATTTCCTCTTTTCTGCCTCTTTCGTCATTTTATTCTATCTTCAACTGACCTTGTTCCATATTATTTCTGTCTCTCTTCGTCCGCTTGAGAAGTGAGGAAAATTAAAAAAAAGCACGAGTGACGATATATAACTGATGGTCACCTGCTTGACAGGATGATAAACTGTACTTGATCACATATATCCCATCGTATACAATCTTTTTTTCTTTTATATTTTACTTTTCATTGCAATAAAATTAATATCTAATTTAGATACGTTCACTTTTTTATTGTGTGCATACACTTATCCATTTCAGTCGTCAATAAAACAACATTCATCTGGTAAATATTCCTTCTTATGCTTCTGTTCAGTCTATATATTTGTTGTATAATTTCAGATCCAAGAAAAAATACAAATAATGAATTATTATTATTATTTTTTTTTCTTGTTTTGTTTTGTTTCAATATTATATCGGTGTTCGTTTATGCTATTCTTTACCAGCACGTGGTTTATTAACTCACTATCATAATAATAGTAATGCTCCATCTGCAATAAATCAATATTGTCAAAGTTTTAATACATATAACCAAGTCGCTGCATTACTAGCAAGAAATACCTATCCATCATTTCAAAAATCGAATAAAATTAATAACAATAATGATCATACAAGACGTCAAATTGATGCGGAAAACCTTGATATCAAGGCTTTACAAACCACAGTTAATGATCATCGAACCATGATCCAATATTTATTCAACAATTGAATAAATGAAACTATTCTTACGCAGGCACTGTACAAACACTCACGCATGGCACCAGCATTAACTAGTTGGAGAGATTGGGTCGACATCTTTTGCATCAGTTTAGTTCTCATCATGCTGATATACGTATTCGCTTGTCCTGCCGAGTTTTCTATATGCGGCAAAGTATTCGCACTTTTATTTGGACCTGTTCTTACTCGAATACAACAACAGCAAGAGTAACAGAAATATATACAGCAGCAGCAATATACACAACAGCAGCAATACCTACAGCAGCAGTAGTATCAACAGCAGCAGCAAGAAGAGCAGCAACACCATACATCAACACCTATAGCATCAGCTCCAAAGACAACTTCGGAACAACTAAAATCTCTCTCAATGATGACTGATAATCTACAATTCAAAAGCCAATCCTACAAACAACTGATTCATAGTATATTAAAAAAGCCTTTGTTTTTCATTTTCAGTTTCAATCTGCATGTGTCCGAGTTTTTTAATTTTCATGCCATACTTTCTTCATAAATCATGGAAATTGTTTTTTAATTTTACATCTTATTTTTTTCCTTTAATATAATCGAATCGAAATGTCGAAAAAAGAAAAATACATTTAAAATAAAATAAATGACTACGATTGATTCAAAACATTCTGCATCTACATTACTCTATTTATTTCAAAATAAATCAACGCTCTCTATAATTACAAAAAATAAAGAAACAAATAAAATGATTGTCGTGGTGTATAAGAGTTTCAAAAAACTAAAAAATACAGGTCGTGCATGTACTCGTAATACATCTACGGTACTCGGTTATGTCTTGAAAATGAATATTTAATAGTTTGAAACGTCGAAATAATCTAGAAATAAAGAAAAAGTTGATTGAATAAAAATTTTCACTACTCGTTTATTTCATTTTATTTGAATTATCTATTAACGCTCTCTATCAAATGAATTATTTTTCATTTATTTAGTGTCTCCATTTGATCGCCAGAATTCTAATATATCATCACAAGTTATATCTAACTTTAAATAATTTTGAATTTCTTCATCTATGGGATCAACAGCAGGTATTGCCATTGGTGTGTGCTTTTGTATTAAACTTTCTCGAAGTTTCTTCACATTTTGTATAGGCGCATTTAAGTCTTCAAGTGACAAGTTACGCTTCAAAAATGAAGACGTTTTTGTTGTAAATGGCTGTGAATGTGCAGATATTGATGATGTAGATGTATGTTCTGTTCGAGAGGCTCGTACATCTTGGCTAATTCAGAACTGTTTTATCATATCAGATTATGTTAGTTCCCTTGTTGTTTTCTTTTGAGTTAAACACTGGCTAATATTAATTTTTAATTGAGATGGATCAAGTAGAAAAGCACAAATGTTTAATATTGTCACCGGAAATCGTTTGTGCAAGTCGTTCGGTAACAACTTTTTAAATTCTTGAATAAATGAAGAATCAGTCTCAATTATGTGCAACATAGACTCAATTTCCTATAAAAAGCAACAATAAAATAACAACATCTTTCTATACAAATCTTTCAACATATTTATATTATGAAAGATATGTCGTTATTTATTTTGCAAAACAACACGCATTCCGTTTTTAGTAATATCTTTCTATAGTGTAAGTTCGATTAGTTCTATCTATTTTTCATTCACAATAATTAGAAATTCAATCCTTAATACTTACCATTCATCATAATCAATACAAGCTCATTGTTGGATAAGATTTTGATGATGATAATATAGTTGTTGCTGATTCAAATGAAGAAAGAAATTCAATTAAATCATTAACAATCTGATTATCAGCAGCAGGCAACATTAAACCAAAGTGTTTCAATCAACAAAGTAAAGTCTCAATACCAGATATGTTGTCTGCATATGAACGAAGCATTATCAAGATCGTATTCCAACGAGTTCAAACACGTTTTTTTAAAGTATGAAATCTATGTGGGTCTTCTGTGTTGATGCATATTAAATAATTCGAGTTTGATGGACATAAGATTTGTCTGGAATTAAATTTTAAATCATCATCGTTAATATTTCCCTAGAATGCATCTAAATCTTCGCTATCTGTATATGGTGAAGCTAAATCAGCATCTGTTATTTCTCCAGCTTTATTAATTGCTGGTAATAAATCATTGTTTATCATTTCGTTTGATCGAAGAAATTCTTGTTCAAGTTCATGTTCACAATAACGAAGTTTGTTAATAATTATTTGGACTTTATCTAGTAAATATGGAACGTACCTCGTTTGAGACAAGCAATCTTTCATTAACCAATTATGAATACCATGACCAACACAACATAAACGAATTACTTTCAGTATTTTTCATACTTTTAGCATATTTAGACCTTAATCTGATGCCTAGGTAAATAAAAAAACGAAAAACATAACAAATCGTATTTGTTTCAAGAAAAAACTTTCTTACAACAATTATATTATTCGTATTTAAATTGAAGTGATGTAAAAAATTTGAAACATGATCTTTTATAGATTCTCCTGTATGTGATTCATCAAAGGGTTCAGCTTTTAAACTGTATTGGTGCAAATGAAAATTCGAATCGAGAAAATGAATTGTAAAACAAATGTAAGAACGATATATTTATCATACCACGTGTCATATGTTATTGTCAGGAATCTTACTGCTAACTTAATTTGTTTTTTTGTTCTTTAAACAACCTTGTTAGAAATCAAAAACTTCTGAAACCATATAAATAGACAGACATTTCGGACAATTAAAAACTTTTAAAAATATTGTTTACCTTCATTTTCAACAATTGAAAATGGAAGATCTCTAAAACACATTAACGTTAACTGATGCCCAAGCTGTTGTTTCAACTGTGATGGTTTTGTTGTCGAGCGGTCTCGAGAAAACATGAAAAGAATATGTTGGTTTGTTGTCTTAGGCTGTTGGTATTCTGTTACTTGATGAACTGTCGATAAGTGATTTCTCATATTTTCCGTATCACTTGTTGCAAAATAAATACCAATACTTTTTCACATTGGAGGAAAACTAGCATCAGGTTGATCTTCTTTTATTTTATCAAAGCAGATTTTACAATAAATTTGTCGAGTATGTAATCGTTCATTTTGTTTTTTTGTGTAAATGACCGAAGTGATTCCAAACAAATGATGGTTTCGGTACATTAGGTCGTTTTATATGAATAAAGAGGTTTTTATTTAAATTATGGATATTAATCATGTCAATTAAAATACCAAACTAAGTATGAAAGAATAACCAAGATGAACTATAATTAAAAAAAGCAACAATACGAACAACAAATAAAGCACCAAATTTATTGGTAAACGAAAATCAGCAACAAGATTAATAATAAATAAAACGGCGCCGAGATTATTAAAATAGTTTTGTTGTTTTATTATTCTAAAAACAGAATATTTTACCTTTCTTATATATATAAATAACAGAAGTCATTAGTTAGAAATTTAGCCAATCAACAATAATCGAAGATATAATATGATAAATAAAATATTTCGATTTCAATATATAGGTGTCACTGGCGGCGGCTGATAAGTTTTAAAATTTTCTTTAATACTAGCAGTGCCGCGGCTGTGAATTCTGTAGTACAGCGACGACGACTAAAATGTTCACCCAATTTCGACCGACTTGGCGGCGACGGCTGTAAATTTTCTTAAAAAAATCGGTGACTGCGGCAGTTCGGCCGCACAGCTTACATCTCTCGGTGTGGATTCTAGTGTGGGTGTTCCATTGTCTATCGAACCCCACAAGCATACCCTTCTCTGGTCAGAATCAATGTAGTTTAATTAGATCAAAATATTGAAATACCTATACACCTACGAATTATGATTTATTATTTATCGGACAAGAAAAATGCACATCTGTTGAAAACTCATCCCAACACTTCTTATTAAACTCGATTCGAACTACTCTCGATGGGCGGGTGTGGGTGTGGGTGTGGATTTTATTTTTTCTCACCCACTCCTCATGGACAACTACAGCCACATGCACCTTTAATCTTTTAGAATACATCCTAAAATGTGAGAAACTGTGAAATGCAGAGAAAGAGTGGAAAGCTTGTTTACTCTTGTTGAGCATAGTTAGCTTGAAAGAAAAATCGTAAAAACGGGTTGACCACTATTTGAAAGCATTTTCAATTTAGTGGATTCTTAAATCAATTATGCATATTTGATCGTCGAAATTCGTACTTATTATAATGAGAACACTTTAGAAGAGTAAATGAAGAAAAGTCTACGAATATATGAAGATGATTCAAAAAGAAAAAATAGATTTATTGATTGGTTTAGTCATAGATGATTTTCATTGATATCCCCTAGAGAACGTCGTTCTCTCAAAACATCA